AGTTCAACAGACCTAGGTTCAGAACTGGCACACCATCACCTCCATTCTATTGACAAAAGCAAGTCGAAGGCAGGCCAGATGCCAGGGTGGCGGAGCCCGAGGAAGGAGGGCCGGGAACAGGCTGACTGCAAAGCACAGTGGAAGGACAGGGTATGAGGGGAGGGGGGAGATTGGAACCTTTACAATCAGTCGACCACATCCTTCAGAACTTTAACATTGAACACATTTTATATTTTATCAACTAAAAGAAACATGTGGTATTGCCAAGGGAACCTTTTCTCTATTTCTGTCTTGACTGTTGCCCTAGCTGTTAGCTCTGGAGTGATCTGTGTTAATATTTATATGTAAATGAGTCTTCGTTTAGAACTTCTGAGGCTCTGTCAGCCATGTGTCTAAGCTGCCCTCTCTTTACATCTCCAGGTCAATGAAGCCTTTTATTCCTCTGTCCGAGTTCTTTCTGAATCTCTCACTGTTAGGAGGTTCATTCAGTCTAGACCTGTAAAGACCCAAAGAGGAAAATGATGTTAATATAGGACAGTTACATTGTTAAAGGAATTGAAGCCAGACAACAAACAGGTCCAAGCTGCCTGTCGCTACTTGAGCCAAATGAGCAGAAACAAGGTTGAATCGTATGTGAGTAATTGTTCCAGCACTGCCGGCAGTGTGTGAGAGCAGCGGGTCATCCTGTAGAACCTCTGAACTCCCTTGATAGCTGGTCACTCGTATTTGGGTAGCTAGGTGGGGAAGGGCAGATAGACAAAAGGAAAAATATAGGTAAAGTGGTCACAGGCGATTACAATCACAGGGAGGAATGTGGGCTGGGGGACTGCAAAAGGTCACCAGTGTGTTACCCGCGGGGTTCATCTTTCCATGATGTCAAGCAGATTCCCCTTGTTTTCAGATCAGAAGATAATTCCTGAGGTGAACTCTCAAGGAAAACACCTCCCAGCCATGGGCTTTTCTTTAAGCAGAACAATCACAATTAACATGTCTTATAACTATGGCTAGTACCCCACATGGTTAGTTCTCGGTTCTGTTATTCTCTCTTACCCCTTTCATAACTACAATATAATATTCAAGAACATTCTCATTGACATACTCTCATTTTTTTCCAAGTTAAATTTATATTTGATATTTGAAAGCTATTTTAAGCCATTTTATCACATTGGTACAAGTTTCTACATTTATCTTATACTGCTGAATTCTAATAAATGCCATCTGGCACTTTTAAAGCTAAGTAAATGATCTGCAATAGAAGCATGAAGTTCTTAAGTACCCCTCACGTGCATACGCAAACACACGGAAATAATACTCAGACGGACTTGGGAGTGGGTGTCAGGTTGAGTCCTCACTGGAGCTCTGCTACTAGCCTGCTGTGTGACCCACGGTGACCTGTTAACCCTCTCAGGCTTACCTTCTTCACCACAGGGAACTGGACTCGGGAAGCCTTGGGCACCAAATCTACTCACTTGAGCATTATGCTTTTATACCATGAAGTTTGAACTCATGGGCCTTTGATTCTATAACTTCTATAGATCGCTTATAGTCAAATTAGGTTGACTATTATTGATGTTATCACTTTTTAATTATTTTAATTGGCTATTTTATCACCAAGACAATTCAGTCAATATAAAAGTGAATAAAGTAAAAAAAAAAAAAAAAAGGCAGGACTCTTTCATCTTCCTATTCCTATTCCTGACGATGAGATATATAAACACGTGTGTTCATGACCAGTAGCGCAAGCACGCACACAGGTCGGAACTGACAGCAGTGCGAAGTGCCCGCCCAGACTGGCCTGGGAGGCCTTCAGCCTGGATGGTCTCCCCAGGGCCGAGGTCAGCTCTCTGGCCCACCCTTTGAGACTTTTAAGGCAAACACCCATTTCTATTCCCACACAGATACATAAATGTATAGACATCTGCATAAGTTTTTTTTTAAGCAAAATATGAAAATGTACTAATTACACAGTGTTCTAAAACTGCAGTTTTATTGAGGACTTCTTTAATATCCACATTTGGAGATCCAGCTGAATCCATAGGCTGTTTCTTCAGTAACAAAAGAGTATCCCACAGGTTATCTAACCATCTTCTGATAATGACATTTAGGTTGTCTGCATGTAATATGTTTACCATTGTTGTGAAAAATAAAACAGGCTTGGAATTTAAGATGATAAGCTGTTGTTTATAAGAACTGCATTTCAGAACTAAGGAACGAACCTGCCCAACGAGACAACAAGCCTACCTTGTTTTATACAGAACAGCCTAAAAATTTCTTCAAGAAACGCCTGGTGGTTAGCAAGTAAGAATCAGCCCCAAGACCCCCAGGGGACCAGGGCGTTCCCAGAAGAGCAGAGGGAACACCTTGTATTCTTAACTTAGCAAACTTAAAAAGGCTTTTTGCCTGGCCAGTGTGGCTCAGTGGTTGAGCATCAACCCATGCACCAAGAGGTCACCGATTCAATTCCCGGTGAGGACACATGCCCAGGTTGTGGGCCTGATCTCCAGTGGGGGACATGTAGAAAGCCATCAATTAATGTTCTCTCTCATCGATGTTTCCATCTCTCTCTCCTTCTCTTTTCCTCTCTCTCCAAAATCAATGAAGAAAAAAACATTTTTTAAAATAAAAAGTCTCTTTGAAAAGAATGTGGAAAAAGATCCCACTGTTTATTTAGTAAAACGTTAAGACATATCATTTCTGTAAAAATTGTAGTGTTCATAACTAGTGATGGGAGGTGCCAGTCATCATGGGACAGCCACATCCTCCTCGTCTCAGAGCCGGCTCCCTGAACACATGTGTCCTGGGAACTTATACAGGACTGGTTTCTATGGGGCCTGGGGCCACCTGTTCAGTGACTGGCCCGGTCATGGCATGAGCTGGGTCAGGTGAGGCAAGTGAAAGTAATCTCAGCATACTCATCACCTTCACCAGCTCCCCCAGGGGTCCTCCTCTCCACGCCTCCTTCCAGGCCTTCGTGCTGCCCTCAGCCTCCCAGAAGCCCCCTTCGGGGCTCTGGCCTGGACTGCCTTTTCCAAGGCAAGCCCCCCTTCGGAGAAGAGACAGTCTTGCAGTGAGTCTGAGGGGGGCCTGGGAAGGAAGAGCCACACGTTGACCTGTCACCTCTCTCTGACCACATTCTTCTTCTTTCTTTAAAATATGGTTTATTGAATTTTAGAGAGAGAAGAAGGGAGAGAGAAACATCACTAGGCTGCCTCCTGCACACCCCTTACTGGGGATCGAGCCCACAACCTGGGCATGAGCCCTGATGGGGAATTGAACTGGGACCTCTCAGTCCGTGGGACGATGCTCAATCCACTGAGCCACACCGGCCGGGCTCTGATCACCTTCCTAACAGGTCTCTGTGAGTCTTGCTTCCAAACTCCTTTCTCTGTAGTCTCATCATAGTCTTAACTATTCTGGTAACAAATTACCTTCACAGCCATAGAGAAGGCACCACCTTTGGGCAATATGCTTAGGAGGAGTGACTATTACTATCATGCCTCTACTCAGAGTCCATAACCATTATCATCTCTACCCCCAAAACCTGCTCATACTGGGGTTTTGGTCCTCTCCCCAATTCCACTGGCATATAACCAATTAATTCCCATAAGAAGGTTAAGCACTGGCAGCCACTTATTTTCTTGCCCCCCTCCTCCAGGTATTTCCCCAATCATCCTGATGGTAAGACTCACCTGTGTGCTTGTTGAACCTATGTTACCCCAAGCCCTGCCCCTGGAGAACCTGCTTCAACAGCCTCTGAGTGGGACCCAGTGATATCAGTGGGAGCCCCATGGGGTCTTTTTGATCAAGGAAATTGGGAAACACTACCCAGCCGGCAATGGTGCTTCAGACACCTATAACAAGGAGTGGAGATTACTCCTCAAGTTACCACAAAGACAACACGTAAGTCAATAATCGCACATGCCACCTACCGCTTACACAGAATCTGAGCATACATCACCTGTCATGGAACGTGGGCTGCAGACACATAGGTGTCTCAAAATGCAACAGGCTGAGACTATAATAAGTCTGTGAAGAATTGGAGAACAAAAGTTTTATCTAAAATAGTCTTCAATTTGAAGTTTTGAAAAATGCCCAGGCTAAGCTCAAGGCTCGGTTTTGCCTGTAATTGGCCTCTCTGCCTCCTCCGCCTCAGGAAAAAGTTTTGGAAACTCCCCATTGCAAGTGGAACAGCTCTGGTTTTGTCTGTTCTGTTGATGTTTTGCGAAGCGTGGGTGTGTTTGAAGGCTACTGCTCTTGCAGAGGGGTCTCAGGGTGTGGTTTCGGTTCTCTGGCTGCCGCGAAGCTCGAGGCAGAGAGGGGAGACAAAGTGCGGATGGTTTCCCAAGCCCTTTCATCCCCATAGCAAGACTGAGGCCCGCAATGAAAAGCCTCATGACTGGCTCAGGGTAAGAAAGGGGTCATGGAGCCTGTCTGAGCCATGTTTGTGTTTCTGGCCATCTAGACACCCTGCCTGCTCAAAAGATGCTAAGGGCATTTCCCTCACCCAAGGGGCATAGCTGAGAAGGCAGAGACCCCTAACTGAGTAACTTCTACTGAGTTCACTGAAGTCACAAGGGATAACAGGAGAGAAACTGACCTGTAGGGGCCAGAAGGGCACAGGAGAGAGAGTTAAGGAATGAACTTAACCAGACAAGGCGACTGTGTCCCCTCCTCTACCCCCAGGATACTCACCTCCAGTCTGCCCTCAGTCTTCCTGAGCAGAAAGCCCTTGGCTCCAGGCCAGCCCCATTTTCCTGGTGAGCAGAGCACACAAACTGGAACAACTGGCACCCAGTTCCCATTATCCACAGGTGCCCTGATCTGCATGATGCCACCAAGAGTGGAAGACCTTGTCTTTCTCTTATCTCAGAATTGCCTGGGAAATTATTAGCACAAATCACAGCATCGCTCAAAGCTTAGGTCATATCACTTGGCAGTCTTGGCTCTAGCTTTGGTGGGCTCTGTCTCTGAAGGGTACTTTTGGGCCATCCCCTGTCTCAATGTGTCTGGCTTCTGTACATCCCTTTGGTCTTGAAATGCTGACTTGCACTTTTGTCTTTGACCCAGAAAAGCTTCCCCTATGGGCCCCATATAAGACTGCCGCCAGGAAAGTGTAAGTGATTGCTGTGGGGAGTGATTTGGGAAGCAGTAACCTAGTAATTACGAATACTAACCAACTAGCTAAGGATATAGGCTTGTACTAGAACAGTGATTCTCAACCAGGGGTAACTTTGGGGGGATTTTTTGTGGGTTTTTTCTACCTGGATGACATTTGACAATATTTAGAGACACTTTTTGAGACATTCTTGGTTATCAGAACTGGCGGGGAAGCTGGTACTGGCATCCAGTGATTGCAAGCCCAGGATGCTGTTGAAACAGCCTCCACTGAACAGGTGACAACACCCCCCTATAACACAGGATCATCAGGCTGCAATGTCGGTAATGCTGAGGTTGAGAGACCCCTGAGCTGAGGGCTTGGGCTTGAGTCCTGGCTCTGCCACTGTCTGGGTATGACCTTGGGCACGTTGGCTAACCTTTCTACACCGCTGCTTGCCCACTGGAAAATGGGGGTCATGGCAGCGTCTCCACATGGTATCTAAAAAGTCATGACACAAAAAATGGCGGTGGAGTGAACGGAAGCTGCACAGACCGTCTCCTAGAACCAAACTGGAATTACAACTATAACACAGACAAATTGACGGGAAAAAGCAACAGAAAAGCAGCTTGCGAGGACCATATAACAAGGGACACTGACTCCATCCCGGTAGGATTGCAAAGGCGGGAGACAGGGGCTGGGAGCCCACGGTCGGCAGCTCGGCAGCGGCCTCAGCAGGGAACGGCGCCCTCGGGTCACACTCCCAGGCGGCCCCACAGCGCAGCCGGGACAGAGGCTGAAACAGCCACAGCCACTCACCTTGGGCTCCGGCAGAGGGAGGGCGGACTGGACTGGAACTGTGTTGGGTCACTCGGGATCTGGAGGGCGCTCAGAGCTTTTAGTGAGTGCAGCCACGCAGGACGGTGACCATATTGCTCCTTCCCAGGGCTCTGGGGAGAGGCAGCAGCCCCTCCCTCGGAGATCCAACCCCACCCTGTGGGCCATTGAAGTGCTAATTGAGGCTCATTAACAACCAGCATCTGCCCCGACCTCATGAAAGCCCCTTGGCTGAGCACCTGAGGGAGTTTTTCAATCAACTGACAACCCAAAACTCATCAAGTAACCTCGACTGCTAGCCTCCAGGCAAAAAGCTGGAGGATAACAGTACCTTTCCTGGGCTGGCAACTTTAACCAGGAAAGTAAGACTTGACAGTGGTGTTCAACGTGGGTCCTCCCTCGCTCATCTAAACACAGGAGAGGGAGCCACAAACAGCAGAACACCAACACCCACAGGGAGAACGTGACAGGCTCCAAAGCCCACAGTGATAGCCAAAATGGTGAAACACAGAAACAGAAGCCAAATGAAAGAGCAAGAGACCTCCACCGAAGATGAGATCAATGTGGAGCAATTAGGCATATTAACAGAGCTAGAATTCAGAGCCATGATCTTGAGGAAGCTGAACAGCATAAGTAAGGACATAGAGACACTGAAAATAAGCCAATTAGAAATTAAAAACCATCAAGAAGAGATAAAAAATGACATATCAGAAATGAAAAACACATTGGAAGGTTTAAAAAGCAGAGTAGAGGAAGCTGAGGACCGGATCAGTGAATTAGAAGAGGGGGTAGAAAAAATCAACCAATCAGAAAAACAAAAGGAAGAAACTATTAAAAAACAGGAAGACAGCTTAAGAGAACTGTGGGACAACTGGAAACGTAATAATATTCGCATCGTAGGAGTCCCCAAAGAAGAAGAAAATGAGCAAGGGATACAGAATATATTCAAAAAAATAGTGACAGAACACTTCCCTAATTTGGTGAAGGAAGAAGGCATTCAAGTTCAAGAAGCACAGAGAGCCCCAAGTAAGAAGAACCCAAACAGGCGCACACCAAGACACATAGTAATTAAAATGCCACAAATTAAAGACAAAGAGAGAATCCTAAAAGCAGCAAGAGATAAGCAACAGGTTACCTACAAAGGAAACCCCATAAGGCTCTCAGCTGACTTCTCACAAGAAACACTACAGGCCAGAAGGGAATGGCATGAAGTTGTCAAGGTCATGAAAAACAACAATCTGAATCCAAGACTACTCTACCCAGCAAGGCTATCATTCAAAATAGAAGATCAAATAAAGAGCTTCCCAGACAAAAAAAGGCTAAGGGAATACATTAGCACCAAACCAGCACTGCAAGAAATGTTAAAAGGACTGCTGTAATTAGCAGTAGAAATGGGAAGAAAAATAGAACTACACTAAACAAAAATGGCAATAAATAAGTACATATCAATAATCACCTTAAATGTAAATGGATTGAATGCTCCCATAAAAAGACACAGAGTAGCTGATTGGATAAGAAAGCACGACTCATCTACATGTTGTTTACAAGAGACCCATGTCACAACAAAAGACTCAGATAGGTTGAAAGTGAAGGGATGGAAAGAAATTTTCCAAGCAAATGGAAAGCAAATAAAAGCTGGGGTAGGAATTCTCATATCTAATAAAATAGATTTCAAAATGAAGACCATAACTAGAGACAAAGACGGCCACTACATAATATTGAAAGGATCTATCCAACAGGAAGATATAACCTTGATAAACATATATGCACCCAATATAGGAGCACCAAAATATATTAAAAATCTTCTGGAGGACTTCCAAGGAGAAATCGACAACAATACAATCATAGCAGGGGACTTCAACACCCCGTTGACAGCACTGGATAGATCCTCTAGGCAAAAAATTAGCAAGGAAACAGACACTCTAAATGAAGCACTAGACCAAATGGATTTAATAGATATCTACAGAGAATTACACCCCAAAACTACAGAATACACATTCTTCTCAAGTGCACATGGAACATTCTCAAAGATAGACCACATGATAGGACACAAACTAAATCTCTACAAGTTCAAGAAGATTGAAATCACATCAAGCATCTTCTCAGATCACAATGGCATGAAACTAGAAATCAATTGCAACAAGAACATGCAAAGACATGTCAACACATGGAGGCTAAATAGCATGTTATTAAACAATGAATGTGTCACCGAGGAGATCAAGGAAGAAATTAAAAACTTCCAGAAAATCAATGAAAATGAACTCACAACAACACAAAATCTATGGGATGCAGCGAAAGCAGTTCTGAGAGGGAAGTTCATTGCACTACAGGCCTACCTCAAAAAACAAGAAAAACTTCTAATTGACTGTCTAACCTCACAATTTAAAGAATTAGAAAGCAAACAAAAAGAAAACCCCAGAGCAAGTAGAAGGAAGGAAATAGTAAAGATCAGAGCAGAAATGAATGACATAGAAACCAAGAAAACAATTCAAAGGATCAATGAAACGAAGAGCTGGTTTTTTGAAAAGATAAACAAGATTGATGGACCCTTACCTAGACTCACCAAGAAACAAAGAGAGAGAACCCAAATACACAAAATCAAAAATGAAAAAGGTGAAGTAACAACCAACACCACAGAAATACAAAAGATTGTTAACAACTACTGTGAACAACTATATGGCAACAAATTCGACAATCTAAGCGAAATGGACAAATTTCTAGAAACACACAGTCTCCCAAAACTGGACCAGGAAGAGATAGAAAACTTGAACAGACCAATAACAACTAAGGAAATTGAAGAGGTAATCAAGACTCTCCCAGCAAACAAAAGCCCAGGCCCAGATGGCTTTACGGGGGAGTTTTACCGAACATTCAAAAAAGAACTAACACTCATTCTCCTCAAACTATTTCAAAAAATTCAAGAAGGAAGACTTCCAAACACGTTCTATGAGGCCAGCATAATTCTAACTCCAAAACCAGAAAAAGACACTACGAAGAAAGAAAACTACAGGCCAATATCCCTGATGAACATAGACGCCAAAATCCTGAACAAATTATTAGCAAATCGGATCCAGAAATACATCAAAAAAATTATTCACCATGACCAAGTGGGATTCATTCCAGGGATGCAAGGCTGGTACAATATTCAGCAAATCAATAAACAGTGATACACCACATAAACAAAATGAAGAATAAAAACCACATGATCATATCAATAGATGCTGAAAAAGCATTCGACAAAATCCAGCATCCATTTCTGATAAAAACGCTCAGCAATGTAGGAATAGAGGGTTCATATCTCGACATAATAAAGGCCATATATGAAAGACCTACAGCCAACATCATACTCAATGGACAGAAACTAAAAACATTTCCATTAAGAACAGGAACAAGACAGGGATGTCCACTTTCGCCACTCTTATTTAACATTGTACTGGAAGTCTTAGCCACAGCAATCAGACATGAAGAAAAAATAAAAGGGATCCAAATTGGAAAGGAGGAAGTGAAACTGTCATTATTTGCAGGTTACATGATATTATACATAGAAAACCCTAAAGACTCCATCAAAAATCTACTAGACTTAATAAATGAATTTGGCAAAGTAGCAGGATACAAAATTAACGTCAAGAAATCGACGGCATTCTTGTACACCAATGATGAACTCACAGAAAGAGAAACTGAAAAACAATCCCATTTACCATCGCGCCAAAAAAATTACGATACCTAGGAATAAACTTAACCAAAGAAGTAAAGGACCTAGTTGCAGAAAACTACAGGTCATTGAAAAAAGAAATAGAGGAAGATATAAAAAAAGTGGAAGCACATACCCTGTTCATGGATTGGAAGAATTAACATCATTAAAATGTCCATATTACCCAAAGCAATCTATAGATTCAATGCAATCCCCATCAAAATACCAACGGTATACTTCACAAAACTAGAACAAATACTTCAAAAGTTCATATGGAACCAAAAAGACCCCGAATAGCCACAGCAATCTTGAAAAAGAAGGACAAAGTTGGTGGAATCACAATACCAGATATCAGGTTATACTACAAAGCGACTGTAACCAAAACAGCCTGGTACTGGCACAAGAACAGGCATATAGACCAGTGGAACAGAACTGAAAACCCAGAAATGGACCCAAGGCAATACGCTCAACTAATATTTGACAAAGGTGGCAAGAGCATACAGTGGAGTAAAGACAGCCTCTTTCATAAATGGTGTTGGGAAAATTGGACAGCTACATGCAAAAAAATGAAACTAGACCATCAACTTACACCATACACCAAAATAAACTCAAAATGGATAAAAGACTTAAATGTGACCCGTGAATCCATAAAAATTCTAGAAGAAAATGTAGGCAACAAAATTTCGGACATCATACGGAGCAGAATTTTCACTGATACATCACCTAAGGCAACAAAAACAAAGGAAAAAATGAACACATGGGAGTACATCAAACTAAAAAGCTTCTGCACAGCAAAAGAAACAATCATCAAAATGGAAAGGCAACCCATTGTATGGGAGAACATCATTGCCAATGATGTGTCAGATAAGGGGTTAATTTCCAATATATATAGAGTGCTCATACAACTCAACAAAAGGAAGACAAAGAACCCAATTAAAAAATGGGCAGAGGAGTTGAATAGACACCTCTCCAAACAGGACATACAAATGGCCAAGAGACATATGAGGAAATGCTCAGAGAGATGAAATCATCAGAGAGATGCAAATAAAACAACAATGAGGTATCACCTCACACCTGTCAGAATGGCCGCCATCAACAAATCATCAAACAACAAGTGTTGGCGCGGGTGTGGAGAAAAGGGGACTCTAGTACACTGCTGGTGGGAATGCAGACTGGTGCAGCCACAATGGAAAACAATATGGTGTTACCTCAAAAAATTAAAAATTGAACTTCCATTTGACCCAGTGATCCCACTTCTAGGAATATACCCTAAGAAGCCTGAAACACCAATCAGGAAGAATATATGTACACCCATGTTCATAGCAACACTATTTACAATAGCTAAGATCTGGAAACAGCCCAAGTGTCCATCAGTAGACGAATGGATTAAAAAGCTGTGGTACATATACACAGTGGAGTACTATGCAGCGGTAAGAAAGATCTCTTATCCTTTGAGACGACATGGAGGGACCTGGAAAGTATTATCCTAAGCGAAACAAGCCAAGCAGAAAAAGACAAATACCACATGATCTCACTTATATACGGAATATAATGAACATAACAGTCTGAGGAATACAGTAGATCCAGACACATGGAAGTAGGGCACAGACTGACATCCCTCAGAAGAGGGGATGGGGGGTGGGGGGGTGGGAAGAGATAAACCACAGAACTTATATGCATGTATGCATGACCAATGGACATGGACAACTAAGCCAGGGACGGGGCGGGGGTGAGGTGGGAGGGGGGTGCCAATGGGGTAAAAAAGGTGAAATATCTGTAACAAAAAAATAAATTTAAAAAAATTAAAAAGTCGTGACAGAGAGCAGATGAAGGACTTGGGGCAGCACCTGGATACAACTGCTCAAACCTGAGCTCTTTCGACCTCGTGGGAGCTGGGAGGCCACTGTGGCGCTGCCCCAGAGATCACAGCGCTGTCTGAACAGGTGTTGGAAAGACAGCTGCAGCTAAGCAGTGGGGTTTTCTGTTGCCAAGCAACAGTCCTGCCCAAGGACAGTCATTAGGAGCAATAAAAGCAACCTCTCTAAACAGTTCTCAAGCTTAAGCGTGAGAAGAATCACAAGGGGAACTTGGAAAGTACAGACCTACCTCATTAGTTGATGACATAGGTTCGGAGGGAACCCTAAAAATCTGCATGTCTAACAGGCCACTTCATTTGATTCCACAGTGAAGAGCCCCAGTAATCAAAACTTTCACTCCCAACATTAGACAGCTGAGAGGTGTGTTCCTGAGGCCAGGGGCCTGCCAGCGAGCACCGGTGCCTGGCTATGTCTGGCCCATGGCCCCATGGCATCTGTGTGTGTGCGTGTATGACAGTCCTCACGCTAACAATGGCTTTTATGTTTTTAAAGAGCTTTTAAAAATACATTTTAGAAATTATATGTTGCCTACAAAGTGTAAAATCTATACTAACACTGAGCAGAAACCGGCTGTCTGAGCCCTGCTTTGGCTGAGTTCCGTAGGCAGGGGTATTCAGAGAGGCTCGGCCCAGCACCAGGCTGCTCCGCGGATGCTCAGTACCTGAATGATGTTGAAGGCGCCAGACCACCAGGACCATAATACTCTGACTCAGGGAAAGTATAAGAAGGAAATAAAAACTGAACTCCAGCCCGCTGGTGTGGTTTAGTGGTTGAGCGTCGACCCTGTGCTAAGAGGTTGCCAGTTCGATTCTCAGTCAGGGCACATGCCCAGGTTCTGGGCCCAATCCCCTGAGGGGGGCATGCAGGAGGTGGCCAATCAATGTTCTCCCTCATCGGTGTTTCTCTCTCTCTCTCTCTCCCTCTCTCTTCCTCTCTCTCTAAAATTAATAAAGGAAAAAAATTCTTTTTTAAACAAACAAATGGAACTCCAATCCCTGAAGTTCAAGAAACTGTTCTCTACCAACGGATGAGCCCGCCTAGTGGCGGGGCGGGCTAGCCTCCCGCTGCAGGAGTGAGGCCTCCAGCACTGGCAGTCCTGGTACTGAAGGGGCTGCACTCAGCTGGTGCTACTCTGGACTCACCCTTTCCACAGAGGTCTGGCACTTCCTGCTCTTATTATGCCATTTGCACACCGCCCGGTCAGCACCGGAGGACCCTCAGGTTCCTGGGCAGTGCTGCTGCAACATGCAATGCCCTCACATGTCAGATGAGCGGTCCAGCCTTGCAAGCAGAAGGAGCCCACAAGCACCTGAGATCCACCTGTGCATGAAGGATCTCGTGTCTGTGAGTGAGCAGGCTGACTGCTGCTCCTATGGCCAATGTGGGGGAATGTGGTGATCTCGGCAGTTGGGCTTAGGAACAGGGTCAGAACTGCGATCCTATATCATGGCGTGCTGGTTCTGTGGCTTAAACACATTGAGTCTGTTTCCAAGCCTAAAGTGGGAGAAAATAACACTTCTCTTACAGGGTGTCTCTAAAAATGGGCTGAGAAGGTATATACAGGGCTTAGCACAGCATGCCTGGCCATAGAAGGATCTAACAGGTAACTGAACACTTATCCTGTGCCAGGTGATAGGATACAGCCACTGAGAAAAACAGCCCACCACACACTCACGGATTTTAAAGCCTAACATAGCTAATATCAAAATGAAAGAAAGAAGAAATAGTCGTACTTTATTTTAACAGTAATGGAACTGCGTGATTGACACGACTTGATTGCTATGGACCTAGTAAGAAGCTGTGCACCTACAGACCCAGAGTCTGAGCTCACACCTGGAAGGGAGCCCAGTTCATCTGACGGCCTCTGGGAGGAGAGGTGCTGTCTCAGGGCACAGCTGGGGTTTGTGTCTGTCTCGTGCTAGTCCAGTCCCGCCCCCAGGCCTCCAGGTGAGGGAACAGCACAGAGCTGTTCTGGGGGTCTTCCACATACATCAGTAGCATGATTCAGAAACCTCCAAATCGAAGCCTCACATCACACTTTTTCCCCTTCCAGTTTACCCTTCAGGCTACTCCTGGCATGGCTGATGAAAATTTGGTATAAAAGTAATTTCTTAATGTACAGACCTAAGGAACCTTTTTCTTCTATGTTAAAGGTAACATAACCTCAAAAAAAAAAAAAAAAAAGGCGGTGGAGTGAATGGAGCTACACAGACCATCTCCCAGGAACAAACTGGATTTACAACGAAAATAAAGACAAATTGTCAGGAAGGGGCAAACAAAAGGCAGCCTGGAGGACCACATAACCAGAAACACTGACTCAATCCTGGTAGGCTTGCGAGGACGTGAAAGGGGGCCGGGAGCCGACAGTCCACAGCGGCCTGGGCTGGGACCAGCGGACTCGGCTGGAACCAGGGGACTCGGCTGGGATCAGGGGACTCGGCTGAGACCAGGGGACTCAGCTGGAAGCTGCTGCCGCCTCGGCTGCTTCCGCAACAGCCGCTGAGTCCTGCGAACTCAGCTGAGTGCTACGCCCTCGGCTGGTGCCACAGACTCGGCCGCCCTTAGCTGGGAGCAACGCCCTCGGATTAAAAGTCCCAGGTGGCTCCATGACGAAGAGTCTGAACAGAGGCTAAATTGGCAACAGCCACTCACCTTGGGCTCCGGCCAAGGGAAGGCAGACTTGACTGGAACTGTGTGGAGACACTCGGGATTTGTAGGGTGCTCAGAGCTTTTGCTGAGTGCAGCCTCGCAGGACAGTGGCCATCTTACTCCTTCCCAGAGCCCTGGAGAGAGGCAGCGGCCCCTCCCTCAGAGATTCAACCCCACCTGGTGGCCATTGAAATGCTAATTGAGGCCCCTTAACAACCAGCATCTGCCCCACCCTCAAGAAATCCTCTTACACTGAGCACCTGAGGGAGTTCTTCAGGCAACTTAGAAACCAAGGTTCTTCAGGTTTCCTCTACTAATAGCCTCCAGGGAAAAAAAAGCTAGAGGAAAGTTAAGACTTGACAGTGGTGTTTAAAGTAGGTCCTCCCTGCCTCATCCAAATCCAGGAGAGGAAGCCACAAGCAGCAGAACACCAACACCCTCAGGGAAAATTTGGGAGACTCCAAAGCCCACTGTGATAGCCAAAATGGTGAAAAACAAAAACAAAAGCCAAATGAAAAAACAAGAGACCTCTACCAAAGATGAGATAAAAGAGGTGCAGTTAAGCAAGATAACAGAACTAGAATTCAGAGCCATGATCTTGAGGAAGCTCAACAGCATGTGTAAGGACATGAGCACCATGAGTAAAGCCATAGAAATGTTGAAAATCAACCAGTTGGAAATTAAAAACGACATATCAGAAATGAAAAACACATTGGAAAGTCTAAAAAGCAGAGTAGAGGAAGCTAAGGACCGGATCAGTGAATTAGAAGACAGGGTAGAAAAAGTCAACCAATCAGAAAAACAAAAGGAAAAAACTATTAAAAAACAGGAAGACAGCTTAAAAGAACTGTGGGACAACTGGAAACGTAATAATGTTCGCATCATAGGAGTCCCCGAAGAAGAAGAAAATGAGCAAGGGATAGAGAATATATTCAAAGAAATAGTGACAGAAAACTTCCCTAATTTGGTGAAGGAAGGAGGCATTCAGGTTTAAGAAGCACAGAGAGCCCCAAGTAAGAAGAACCCAAACAGGCGCACACCAAGACACATAGTAATTAAAATGCCACAAATTAAAGACAAAGAGAGAATCCTAACAGCAGCAATAGATAAGCAATAGGTTACCTACAAAGGAAACCCTATAAAGCCCTCAGCTGACTTCTCACAAGAAACACTACAGGCCAGAAGGGAATGGCATGAAGTTATCAAGGTCATGAAAAACAAGGATCTGAATCCAAGACTACTCTACCCAGCAAGGCTATCATTCAAAATAGAAGGTCAAAGAAGGAGCTTCCCAGACAAAAAAAAAAAAAAAAGGCTAAGGGAATACATTAGCACCAAACCAGCACTGCAAGAAATGTTAAAAGGACTGCTGTAATTAGCTGGAGAAATAGGAAGAAAAATAGAACCACACTAAACAAAAATGGCAATAAATAAGTACATATTAACAATCACCTTAAATGTAAATGGATTGAATGCTCCCATAAAAAGACACAGGGTAGTTGATTAGATAAGAAAGCATGACTCATCTATATGTTGCTTAATAGAGACCCACCTCACAACAAAGACTCACATAGGTTGAAAGTGAAGGGATGGAAAAAAATCTTCCAAGCAAACAAAAAGGAAAAAAAAGCTAGGGTAGCAATACTCATATCTGATAAAATAGACTTCAAAATGAAGGCCATAACTAGACAAAGAAGGCCACTACATAATATGGAAAGGATCTATCCAACAGGAAGATATAACCTTGATAAACATGTATGCACCCAACATAGGAGCACCAAAATATATTAAAATCTTCTGGAGGACTTCAAAGGAGAAATCAATAGCAATACAATCATAGCAGGGAACTTCAACACCCCACTGACATCACTGGATAGATCCTATAGACAAAAATTAGCCAGGAAACAGAGACTCTAAATGAAGCACTAGACCAAATGGATTTAATAGCTGTCTACAGAGAATTACACCTTAAAACTACAGAATTCACATTCTTCTCAAGTGTACATGGGACATTCTCAAAGATAGACCACATGTTAGGGCACAAACTAAGTCTCTACAAGTTCAAGAAGACTGAAATCATATCAAGCATCTTCTCAGATCACAATGGCATAAAACTAGAAATTAATTGCAAGAAGAACATACAAAGACATTTGAACACATGGAAGCTAAATAGCATGTTATTAAACAATGAATGGGTCACCAAGGAGATCAAGGAAGAAATCAAAAACTTCCTGGAAACCAATGAAAATGAACACACAACAACACAAATCTACAGGATGCAGCGAAAGCAGATCTGAGAGAGAAGTTCATAGCACTACAGGCCTACCTCAAGAAAAACAAGAAAAATCTCTAATAGACTATCTAACCTCACAACTTAAAGAAGTAGAGAGCAAACAAAAAGAAAACCCCAGAGCAAGTAGAAGGAAGGAAATAGTAAAGATCAGAGCAGAAATAAATGACATAGAGACCAAAAAAACAATTCAAAGGATCAATGAAACAAAGAGCTGGTTTTTTGAAAAGGTTAACAAGATTGATGGAACCTTAGCTAGACTCACCAAGAAACAAAGAGAGAGAACCCAACTACACACAATCAGATATGAAAGAGAAGAAGTAACAACTGACACCACAGAAATACAAAAGATCGTTAACAACTACTATGAACAATTATATGGCAGCAAATTCAACAATCTAAGAGAAATGGAAAAATTTCTAGAAAAACATAGTCTCCCAAAACTGTACCAGGAAGAGATAGAAAACTTGAACAGACGCTCTGGCCAGTTTGGCTCAGCGGTTGGAGCGTTGACCTGCGGTACAGAGAGTCCCAGGTTCGGTTCCCGCTAAGGGCACGTACCTCGGTTGCAGTTTGTCCCAGCCCTGGTTGGTCGTGCAGGTGGCAGCCACTCGATGTGTCCCTTCACATCGATGTTTCTCTCTCTCTCTTCCTCTCTCTCCCTCCCGCTCTATCTGAACAAAAAATGGAAAAATGTCCTCGGGTGAGGATAAAAAAAAAAAAAAGAAAACTTGAACAGACAGATATGAACAGAAGAAATTGAAGATGTAATCAAGACTGTCCCAGCAAACAAAAGCCCAGGCCCGGATGACTTCACGGAGGAGTTTTACCGAACATTCAAAGAAGAACTAACATCCATTCTCCTCAAACTACTTCAAAAAATTCATGAAGAAGGAAGACTTCCAAACTCGTTTTATGAAGCCAGCATAATTCTAATTCCAAAACCAGAAAAAGACACAACAAGGAAAGAAAACTACAGGCCAATATCCCTGATGAACATAGACGCCAAAATCCTGAACAAAATACTAGCAAATTGGCTCCAGCAATACACCAAAAAAATTATCCACCATGACCAAGTGGGATTCATCCCACGGATGCAAGGCTGGTACAATATTTGCAAATCAATAAATGTAATACACCACATAAATAAAATGAAGAATAAAAACCACATGATCATATCAATAGATGCTGAAAAATTCTTCGACAAAATCCAGCATCCATTTCTGATAAAAACGTTCAGCAGTGTGGGAATAGAGGGATCATATCTAGACATAATAAAGGCCATGTATGAAAGACCCACAGCCAACTTAATAGGCAAAAACTAAAAGCATTTCCCTTAAGATCAGGAACAAGGCAAGGATGCACACTTTTGCTTCTCTTATTTAACATAGTACTGGAAGTCTTAGCCACAGCAATCAGAGAGGAAGAAAAAATAAAAGGAATCCAAATTGGAAAGGAGGAAGTGAAACTGTCACTATTTGCAGATGACATGATACTATATGAAGAAAACCCCAAAGACTCCATCAAAAATATACTAGACTTGCCCTGGATGGTTTGGCTCAGCGGTTAGAGCGTCGGCCTGCGGTCCGGAGAGACCCGGGTTCGGTTCCCGCTAAGGGCTCGTAACTTGGTTGCAGTTTGTCCCCAGCCCTGGTTGGGTCGTGTGGGTGGCAACCACTCGATGTGTTGCTTTCACGTCGATGTTTCTCTCTCTCTCTCTCTCTCTCTCTCTCTCTCTCTCTCTCTCTCTCCCTCTCCCTCTCCCTCTCACTCTATCTGAACAAAATATCGAAAAATGTCCTCGGGTGAGGATAAAAAAAACAAAGCAAAACAAAAATATACTAGACTTAATAAATGAATTTGGCAAAGTAGCAGGATACAAAATTAACGTCAAGAAATTGATGGCATTCTTATACACCAAGGATGAACTCACAGAAAGAGAAACTAAGAAACCAATCCCATTTACCATTGCGGCAAAAAAATTACTATACCTAGGAATAAACTTAACCAAAGAAATAAAGGACATATTCGCAGAAAACTACAGGTCATTGAAAAAAGAAATAGAGGAAGATATTAAAAAGTGGAAGCACATACCCTGTTCATGGATTGGGAGAATTAACATCATTAAAATGTCCATATTACCCAAAGCAATCTATAGATTCAATGCAATCCCCATCAAAATACCAATGGTATACTTCACAAAACTAGAACAAATACTTCAAAAGTTCATATGGAACCAAAAAAGACCTTGAATAGCCACAGCAATCTTGAAAAGGAAGAACAAAGTTGGAGGGATCACATTGTCAGATTTCAGGTTATACTACAAAGCCACCATAATCAAAACAGCCTGGTACTGGCACAAGAACAGGCATAGACCAGTGGAACAGAACAGAGAACCCAGAAATGGACCCAAGGCAATATGCTCAATTAATATTTGACAAAGGTGGCAAGAGCATACAGTGGAGTAAGGACAGCCTCTTTAATAAATGGTTCTGGGAAAATTGGACAGCTACATGCAGAAAAATGAAACTAGACCATCAACTTACACCCTACACAAGAATAAACTCAAAATAGATAAAAGACGTAAATGTGACTCATGAATGCATAAAAATCTTAGAAGAAACTGTAGGCAACAAAATTTCAGACATGATACGCAGCAGAATTTTCACTGATACATCACCTAAGGCAACAGAAACAAAGGAGAAAACGAACACATGGGACTACATCAAACTCAAAAGCTTCTGCACAGCGAAAGCTACAATCATCAAAACGGAAAGGCTACCCACTGTATGTGAGAGCATCATTGCCAATGATATATCAGGGGTTATATTCCAATATATATAGAGTGCTCATACAACTCAACAAAAGAAAGACAAAGAACCCAATTAAAAAATGGGCAGAGGAACTAAATAGACACCTCTCCAAACAGGACATACAAATGGCTAAGAGACATATGAAGAAATGCTCATCATCATTAATCATCAGAGAGATGCAAATGAAAACTACAATGAGGTATCACCTCACACCTGTCAGAATGGCCGCCATCAACAAATCATCAAACAACAAGTGTTGGCGAGAGTGTGGAGAAAAGGGGACTCTAGTACACTGCTGGTGGGAATGCAGACTGGTGCAGCCACAATGGAAAACAATATGGTGTTACCTCAAAAAATTAAAAATTGAACTTCCATTTGACCCAGTGATCCCACTTCTAGGAATATACCCTAAGAAGCCTGAAACACCAATCAGAAAGAATATATGTACCCCCATGTTTGTAGCAGCACTATTTACAATAGCTAAGATCTGGAAATAGCCCAAGTGTCTATCAGTAGACAAATGGATAAAAAAGCAGTGGTACATATACACAATGGAGTACTACACAGCTGTAAAAAAGAAAGATCTTTTATCCTTTGAGACTACATGGAGGGACCTGGAAAGTATCATCCTAAGTGAAGCAAGCCAAACAGAGGAAGACAAGTATCATATGATCTCACTTATTTGTGGAATATAATGAACATAACAGTCTGAGGAATGGAGTAGTCCCAGGACGTGGAAGTGGGGTACAGACTGACAATCCCCAGAAGAGGGTGTGGTGGGGGAGAGAGAAACCACAGAACTTATATGCATGTATCCATGAACAGTGGACATGGACAACAAACTGGGGACGGGGCAGGGGGGGGGGGCAATCAATGGGGGCAAAAGGAGAAACATCTGTAACAAAAAATAATTAATAAAAAATAAATAATAAATAATAAAAAGGTAACATAACTTCAGTCCTGATTAAAATATTAGATGACAGTGGTCTTGGGGTTAAGGGGAGTACCAGCCCTCTAAATGAAACTGTTGACTTTAGGATTTCCAGCATCAGATGTGCTGAGGCATTGAGGTCTGTGATGGTGCAGGAGCCCAAACTCGGACCCTCCTGGAGGCCATGAAGCAAGGACATAATGTCCTGATGGATAATTACAGGTTAACCATGCAAGCGTCCTTCAGTGCCATTGGAGTGACTCGCTACATGGTCGGTTCACCACCCAGGCACAGACCAATATTTATTTTCTTAATCCTCACTCGAGGAAATTTTTTCACATTTTGTTCAGATAGAGTGGGAGGGAGAGAGAGGAAGAGAGAGAGAGAGAAACATCGATGTGAAAGGGATACATCAAGTGGTTGCCACTCGCACAACCCAACCGGGGCCAGGGGCAAACTGCAACCAAGTACATGCCCTTAACGGGAACAAACATGGGTCTCTCTGGACTACAGGCTGACGCTCTAACCACTGAGCCCAACTGGCCAGGGCAAACCAATATTTTTAATCCAAGCATGATCTCAACTCTGTCCTCAAAGTAATTGAGAATGCAGCTCATCCAGCTGGTGTCTCAGTGCTCATTGTGCGCCGAGCACTGCACTGAGCACCAGAGATGGAGTGGCTTCTCCCTCCCCCAGGGATGTCAGTCACTGTATAACGTGGGTGAGAATACCACTAAGGTCTTCCACGAACGGGGTTCTGGTTGTGCTACTGTGCTACAGTGTGTCTCACAGTAGGTCCCGGTGCTCTTGGAGCGAACAGTCAAGACTCTGTGATAAATGAGTTAATGTGTCAAAGGGCTCAAATGCCAGCCATTTTAACAAGAACAGTCCTGTGTAAACAGATTGCTCGGGCTTGTAAACATTCCCTCTGGATGCTAATACCATAAAACAGTCATAGAATAAGCAGCTTTCACTCGTATCTGCCTAGAAAAGATCAGCTACAGGTCATAGCAGTAGACACCCCAGTTTGCCAGACAGTACAAAGCATGAAATTTTAAAACTGGAGCACATGGCGGGACGGTCATTAGACAAAATGCCTAAATTCTACTTGGGCCAAAATAGTGCCCAGTATTTGAGTATATGCTTATCTTGACGGTTCTTCTAGCACTGTTTAGAAATTGAATTAAACCTATATCTTTGGAAATGACTTCCCTCCACCCCAAGCAAGGTAATAGTCATCTCTATACAGTGCCTCTGAAGCTTATCCATGCAATTCTTGGACAAAAGACCATTTTATTGTCACCAGTGACTTGTGTATCAGGTGAGGCCCTAGGAATGGGCACCTCCAGTTGTGCAAGACATTGTTCTGGGGACCTAATCAGAGCTGATCATGGACATCCTGTAGGTCATTCCTTCCAGGTCCTGTGACAAGTAATGCCACACACATGACTCACCATTCCAAAGTTTCCTGGGAAGATAAAATCTGTGAGCTTTGGAAATAGAAGCGTTGCCATGAGCCAGTTGCGTAGGAACGGGATTGATACAGAAACAACAAATGGCCTGATTCTGCTCCTCAGCATATTGCACTGCCAACCACTGAGCCCAGGAAGCCCGAGCTGAAACCTGGTCTTACAGATAAATTACAAGAGCCAGGGTAACAAGTTCAAGCTCAGGAAGGCCTCCTTTGATAAGTGCATGAGTAAATTCTCCAGTAACTGAAATTCACTAGCAAACATCAAGCCTCTTGAACGTCCACAATGAAGGTGTTCCTCAGTTTTCTCTCAGCTCATTGAACAGGACAACTTGCTTCCAAGATTCTAAGGCCGAAGGGCTTAGGCCCCATTCAAAACAGGAGAGCTCCATCCAAATAGAAGGGCCCCAGAGAAAACTGGCAGAGAATATGGCAGCGGGCAGGACAGAGGGAGTGTGAGTGTGAGAGAGTGAGCTAGTGTGTGAGAGAGTGTGAGTGGACGTGAAGGTGGACGACCAAACGCAAGCAGTGCAGAGCCGCGGAGCAGAAGGTTCCTGTGCTGTGGACGGAGCAGCCGGCTACCGCGGTGAGCAGCCCTTCAGGGCGCTTCTCCCTGCTCCGCGGGGCAGTCCCACCATTTTGGAAGATCCCGGGTCTTCTCTGGGAGGAGGCAGTGGGAGCGGCTAGGGCCCAGCAACCTGAGCCCACCAGTGCACCTGGCTTCATCGGACCAGTGGACACTCTGTGTCAACACAGACTAGTGCACAGTAGTGGAGCTGCCAAGGTGCCGGTCACGGAAGCTGCAGACAGCCAGGAGCCCAGCACCATCCCCCATAGCAGCAGCCCTATCAGAGTCCAGATATACCCCCAGCAACAGAGGTTGGGGAGTAGACATCCTTCCCCAGGCAACAGAAGGACAGACCAGCAGCGGAGACCATCCCCAAAAACTACAACAAAAGCTGAGCAGGAGTTGAGCCCCAAGGGGCAGCAGCACTCCCCAGCCCCCAGCAGCAGGACCTGAAGCTCTGCAGAGGTCTGTGCAGTCCAGTAGCTCACAAGAGCAGTGGGAAGCCTGAGCCTGAGAGAGACTGGTGCAATCCAGCTGCCCGCCCCCCGGGAACTGTGAGGTGCTGAAGGCCCAGAGAGGCCTGTGCGACCCAGCAGCCCATAACATAGGCAAAGAGCCGGGTCTCCAAAGGGACTATGTGATCCAGTTACCCACAGTACCTGCAGGGTGCAGAGGCAGCAGGAAGTCCTGTGCAACTCAGCTACACATGAGATAAGCATAGAGGATGTGAAAAATGGAGGCGGAGTGAATAGAAGCTAGACAGATTATCTCCCAGGACCAAATGGGAATTACAACTAAAATAAATACAAATCCTTGGGGAAAAGCCATAGCAAGGCAGCAGGACAGAACCATATAACCAGGGACACTGGTAGCATCTGTGGAGGCATGAGAGGGTGGCAGGCTAGGAGCCCATGGACAGAAGCAGTCTTAACTGTGAGCAGCGCCCTTGGGGAATAAAGACCAAGCCTGCTCCACAGCACAGAGAGCCAGGAAAGAGCCCTAAAATACCCAAAGCCACTACCTGGGGGTTACGGCAGAGGGAGGGCAGACTGGGCTGGAACTCTGTGGGGACACCTGGGATTTGGAAGGCACTCAGAGTTTTTGCTGAGTTTCGGCCACAAAGGACAATGGCCAGTGTGCTCCTTCCCCAAGCTGAGAGAAAAGCAGCAGCCTCCCACCTCGGAGATTCAGCCTTTTCCAGGTGAGGCAAACAAATGCAACTTGAGGCTCGTTAACAACCACTATCTATCCCACCCTCTGGAAATCCTCTTATGCAGAACACCAGGGCTACATTCCAAGGCACTGAGCAACTGAGACTACTAGCCACCAGGAAAAAGCTAGAGGATAACTGAACCTTTCCTGGGCTTGCAAATCTACTCAGGAAAGTAAGACTTGACAGTGGTGTTTAACATGGGCCCACACAGGCTCATTCAAACCCAGTAGAACACCAACACCCACAGGGAAAATTTGGCAGGCTCCAAAACCCACTGAGATAGCCAAAATGGTGAAACAAAGAAACAAATGCCAAATGAAAGAACAAGAGAACTCTGTTGAAGATGGGATAAATGAAATGCAGCTAAGCAAATTATCAGAGGTAGAGTTCAGAGCCATGATCTTGAGGAAGCTCAACAGCATGAGTAAGGACATCAGCACCATGAGTAAAGATATAGAAACATTGAAAACCAACCAAGTGGAAATGAAGAATGACATAGAATAACTTAAGAACACATTGGAAGGACTAACCAGTAGAGTAGAGGAAGCTGAGGACCAGATCAGTGAATTAAAAGACAGGGTAGAAAAAGTCAACCAATCAGAAAACCAAAAGGAAAAAATAATTTAAAAACAGGAAGATAGATTAAGAGAACTGTGGGACAACTGGAAACGTAATAACATTCATGTCATAAGAGTCCCCAAAGAGGAAGAAAATGGGCAAGTGTTAGAGAATATATTTGAATAGTGACAGAAAACTTTCCTAACTTGGTGAAAGAAGAAGGCACTCAAGTTCAAGAAGCACAGAGAGCCCCAAGTAAGAATAACCTAAAAAGGCCCACACCAAGACACATAGTAATTAAAATGCCCAAAATTAAAGACAAAGAGAGAATGCTAAAGGCAGCAAGAGATAAGCAACAGGTTACCTGCAAAGGAAACTCCATAAGGCTCTCAGCTGACTTCTCAACAGAAACACTACAGGCCACAAGGGAGTAGCATGAAGTAATCAAGGTCATGAAAAACAAAGATCTGAATCCAAGACTACTCTATTCAGCAAGGCTATCATTCAAAATAAAGAGCTTTTCAGACCAAAAAAAGGCTAAGGGAGTATATTAACACCAAACCAGCACTGCAAGAAATGTTAAAAGGACTGCTGTAATTAGTAGAAGAAATAGGAAGAAAAACAGAACCATACTAAATAAGTACATATCAATTATCACCTTAAATGTGAATGGTTTGAAGGCTCTGATAAAAAAGACACAGAGTAGCTGACTGGAAAAGAAAGAATGACTCACATATATGTTGTTTACAAGAGACCCACCTCACAACAAACAACTCACATAGGTTGAAAGTGAAGGGATGGAAAAAAATCTTTGAAGCAAATGGAAAGCAAAAAACAAGTTGGGTAGCAACACTCATATCTGATAAAGTAGATTTCAAAATGAAGGCCATAACTAGAGACAAAGAAGGCCACTACATAATATTGAAAGGATCTATCCAACAGGAAGATATGGACCCAAATTAGGAGCACCAACATATATTAAAAATCTTTTGGAGGACTTCAAAGGAGAAATCAATACAATCATAGCAATACAATCATAGCAATACAATCATAGCAGGGGACTTCAATATCCCGCTGACATCACTGGCTAGATCTTCTAGACAAAAAATTAACAAGGAAACAGAGACTCTAAATGAAGCGCTAGATCAAATGGATTTAATAGATATCTACAGAGAATTACACCTCAAAACTACAGAATTCACATTCTTCTCAAATGCACATGGGACATTCTCAAAGATAGACCACATGTTAGGGCACAAACCAAGTTTCTACAAGTTCAAGAAGACTGAAATCATATCAAGCATCTTCTCAGATCACTATGGCATACAACTAGAAATCGATTGCAACGAGAACATGCAAAGACATTTGAAAACATGAAGGCTAAAGAGCATGTTATTGAACAATGAATGGGTTACCATGGAGAACATGGAAGAAATTAAAAACTTCCTGGAAACCAATGAAAATGAAGACAAAACAACACAAAATCTATGGGAAGCAGCAAAAGCAGTTCTGAGAGGAAAGTTCATAGCACTACAGGCCTACCTCAAAAAGCAAGAAAAATTTCTAATAGACTATCTAACATCACAACGTAAAGAACTAGAAAGCAAACAAAAAGAAAACCCCACAGCAAGTAGAAGGAAGGAATTAGTAAAGATCAGAGCAGAAATCAATGACATGGAGACCAAACAACAATTCAAAGGATCAATGAAACAAAGAGCTGGTTGTTTGAAAAGATATACAAGATTGATAGACCCTTAGCTAGACTCACCAAGAAACAAAGAGAAAGAACCTAAATACACAAAATCAGAAATGAAAACGGAGAAATAAAAACTGACACCACAAAAATACAAAGGATTGTTAACAGATATAATGAACAATTATACGGCAACAAATTCTACAATCTAAGCGAAATGGACACATATCTAGAAATACATATTCTCTCAAAACTGAACCAGGAAGAGATAGAAAACTGAACAGACCAATAACAACAGAAGAAATGGAAGATGTAATCAAGACTCTCCTAGCAAACAAAAGCCGAGGCCCAGATGGCTTCACAGGGGAATTTTACCAAACATTCAAAGAAGAACTAACACCCATTCTCCTCAAACTATTTTAAAAAATTCAAAAAGAAGAGAGACTTCCAAACTCATTTTATGAGGCCAGCATAATTCTAATTCCAAAACCAGAAAAAGACACTACAAAGAAAGAAAACTAGAGAGCAATATCCCTGATGAACATAGATGCCAAAATTCTGAATAAAATACTAGCAGACAGAATTCAGCAATATATCAAAAAGTTATTCACCATGACCAAGTGGGATTCATCCCAGGGATGCAAGGCTGGTACAATATTCGCAAATCAATAAATGTAATACACTACATAAAAATGAAAGATAAAAATCTTATGATCATATTAATAGACTCTGAAAATGCATTTGACAAAATCCAGCACCCATTTCTGATAAAAACACTCAGCAATCTGGAAATAGAGGGATCATATCTTGACATAATAAAGGCCATATATGGAAGACCTACAGGCAACATCATACTCAATGGGCGAAAACTAAAAGCATTTCCCTTAAAAACAGGAACAAGACAAGGATGCCCACTTTTGCCACTCTTATTCAACATAGTACTGGAAGTCTTAGCCACAGCAATCAGACATCAAGATAAAAGGGATCCAAATTGAAAGGAGGATGTTAAACTGTCATTATTCGCAGATAACATGATACTGTACATTGAAAACCCAAAGTCTCCATCAAAAATGTACTAGACTTAATAAATGAATTTGGCAAAGTAGCAGGATACAAAATTAATGTCAAGAAATGATGGCATTCTTATACACCAATGATGAACTCACAGAATGAGAGAGAAAAAAAAAAAATTCCTATTTACCATCGCAGCAAAAAAAAAATTAGGAATGCTAGGAATAAACTTAACCAAAGAAATAAAGGACCTATTTGCATGAATCCATAAAAATCCTAGAAGAAAATGTAGGCAACAAAATTTCAGTCATCATACACAGCAGAATTTTCACTGATACATCACCTAAGGCAACAAAAACCAAGGAGAAAATGAACACATGGGACTACATCAAACTCAAAAGCTTCTGCACAGTGAAAGATACAATCATCAAAATGGAAAGGGAACCCACTGTATGGGAGAGCATAATTGCCAATGATATATCAGATAAGGGGTTAATTTCCAATATATGTAGAGTGCTCATACAACTCAACAATAGGAAAACAAAGAATCCAATTAAAAAATGAGCAGAGGAACTAAATGAACACCTCTCCAAACAGGACATACAAATGGCTAAGAGACATATGAAGAAATGCTCATCATCACTAATCATCAGAGAGATGCAAATTAAAACAACAATGAGGTATCACCTCACACCTGTCAGAATGGCCGTCATCAACAAATCATCAAACAACAAGTGTTGGCGAGGGTGTGGAGAAAAGGGGACTGTAGTACACTGCTGGTGGGAATGCAGACTGGTGCAGCCACTATGGAAAACACTATGGTGTCACCTCAAAAAATTAAAAATTGAACTTCCATTTGACCCAGTGATCCCACTTCTAGGATTATAATCTAGAAGCCTGAAACACCAATTAGAAAGTATATGTGTACCCTCATGTTTGTAGCAGCACTATTTACAATAGCTAAGATCTGGAAACAGCCCAAATATCCGTCAGTAGACAAATGGATAAAAAAGCAGTGGTACATATACACAATGGAGTACTACGCAGCTGTAAGAAAGAAATATCTCTTATCCTTTGAGATGACATGGAGGGACCTGGGAAATATTATCCTAAGTGAAACAAGCCAAGCAGAGAAAGACAAGTATCATATGATCTCACTTATTTGTGGAATATAATGAACATAACAGTCTGAGGAATGGGCTAGTCCCATAGACGTGGAAGTGGGGTACAGACTGACAATCCCCAGAAGAGGAGGTGGGGGGGGAGAGAAACCACAGAACTTATATTCATGTATGCATGAACAATGGACATGGACAACAAAGCTGGGGACAGGGCATCGTGGGAGGGGGATGGGGGTATTAGTGGGGGACAAAGGAGAAACATCTGTAACAAAAATTAATTAATTAATTAATAAAAAATTAAATAAGTAAGTAAATAAATAAATAAAAAACAGCAAATTGCTGTAAGAAAAGAATGTACTCCTGTGAGGAAAACGCGCTGCTATTTAGCTCTGTGCCAAGAGAGCGGAGGTCATCTGAAAGGGAATGCCTAGCACAGCCGAGCGTGGAGCAGGTAAGGAGGCCAGTCAGCGTTTAGTAAATGAGTAATAGAAGAATACCTGGAGAATTTTCTGCATGGCAACCACATTCTTTTTTCAGGAAAGACCGTTATTTGTCTTGATTTGCTCTTGAATAATGTATCATCCAACTACACTCACAAAGGGAAGAACTTTGTTTATAGAAAATTATTGGCAACACTTTTAACTATTTCCCATGTTAATATATACTGAAAAACTTAAAATTTCATGGAGAAAAAAATGATTTTGCCTTTTGGAATTAGTAAACTTTGCAACTCTTAAAAAATATATATATATGGAAGGGCCCCAAAGGGTCCTCAGGGAGGCCGGTCTCCACTGCGCCCTGCAGGGGCTGTGTGCACAGTCCTCCTCCTCATGCCTGGCTTGGCAGCACTTCGTTCTTTTTGGAACTTGATCTGTTCATTCAGCTTCAGTGTCTAGTACAATGAGCGTGTAGTGCTGGGCACTTGAGGGCACGGGCTCAAAGCAATAAGTTTCCTGGGAGGGAAGCATCTGATAGTCCGTGCCCGGTAGGAATCCGGTGCCCTTCCTCCCTGCCTCCCTGACTGCTGGGCCAGCTGCAGGTGCTGTGGTTGCTCACGACATTCTGTTCTCACAGAAATGCCTGCCCTGTCAGTTCTACTTATCTTCATTCAAGCTGACTTTTTACTTCCAACGAGAGAGAGTGTCCATGGTGATTTACCGAGTGCGTCTCTGTGAGTCCTCAGTTTCTATAGGTAAAGACTAAAGAACATATGGTTTCCAGATCCTGTGTGTCTCCCTTAGCCCTTCCTGAGCCTGTGGAGAGAAAGCCATAGAAACCCAGACTCGGTACTGCTTACCCTGCGAGGAAACGGAGACTGTCCGTCGGGGACGCGGTCTGGCTGCTGCGACAGGACCTAAGGACAGGGACATTTTCGAAACACACACAGGTGGACGCCACTGAAACAGTTTCATGTTCAAGTAACCTGGATACACTTTGTGTTAGGAGCCTGAGCCTACTACCTAAATAAAATTGCTTTCAACCTGTAACTAGGGCAATTATGAAAGCTTAAAGGGTTTTCCCTGAAGCCCTGCCAATTCCTCAGGAAGAACATGGAGTGGGGCCCAAGCTTCCGGTTCTCACCGATCCGGTCAGCCCAGGTCAGAGAGGAAGAGTTAGTCCCTGCCTCACCTTCTCCCCAAACCGCTCTGGATTTGTGAGTCTTGACAGAAGGGACTTAAGGACACCAGGTTACACTTTAAGCCACGAATGATCTGACTCTTGAGTCACTTCAGCCCCTCAGCGGGGTTTCTTGTGGGTTTCTTACCCCTCACGCGGGTGCTTTGGATGTCCCCTACCTCCTCCTTTGGACAAGACTCTTCATGCAGAGCAGGTCCACTGCTGTCCAGGCACCTTAGGGTCTCCCCCTTGTAATTCAACCACTTATCAAAGTTATTTTTTTAATTAAATTTTAAGAGGACGTTTATTAAAGCTGCGGACAGTGAAACAAGGAAGGGCTGGGACATGAGCCTGGGCTGGTCTGCTTTGGCTCTGAGTCAGAGAAAAGGGGGCCTTGGGGACAGGTTCGGGGGTTTGTCAGGAACAAGCTGCTGCTGCCCATTGCTGCCCTGGTTGTAAGCCTCAGGGGTTCCTTAGAGTCTAGGAGATGCTGCCTGTGGGGGGAAAAGTGGGGGAGGCAGGGGCGTGCTCCTGGGAGGGAGAGCCTGCGCTGGGACCTTTGTCTTGAGGGGTTTAGAGGCTGGGTGTTCAAGGCAGGGTCTCAGGAGAACATTCATCAGCTTTATGGGGACAGACCAGAATGAGATTGTTTTTCCCCTTAACCTCATCCGTCCTTGGGTATGGTTAGCAAATGGTACTAATTGGATTGCTGCCACCTCTCTCCCTGGTATTTTTCCCCCAAAGATTTAAGACATATTCTGGTGCCTCCTGGTGAGAACCCGACTGTTTTCTTCATCACACGTCCAGGTCAGCAGACGACAATGTTCATGTGGCAGGCAAATTTCTTTAGACTCTCACCCCTATCTAATTACAGGTGAGCTGTGTACTCAGCAGGGCTTTATGGATGTCAAAGTCCACAGCCACCAAACAAGCCAGCTCTCAATGTGGACGCCCTCAGGGTGGGGGCTCATCCGGCCAGCCCACCTTCAAAGCTCATCGCAGGGGCTGGCACGACTTTACATCCCCCTGAATGATGTGGAACAAGACAGCAGGTCAGTAGGAGCAGACAGCAAGAGGTTAAGACTTATCTTTGCGATAGCTGGTAAAACACTCTGACCTTTCTCTAACCTCAAGTTCAAGGATGACAGAGTCATCTATGAAAATGAAATACATGTTCTCTGGGCAGGTCTTCCTCTGAGCACAGTTCCAGAGACAGTGAACTCAGGTGTGATACAGCTGCTACTTGACTTTTTAAGCTCCAGATTAAATCCAAGCAGTTTTAACCTAAAATTCTTCACGCCCCACCCAACAGCTCTTCCAGAATGACGGGAAGTGTGACTACAGCACAGACAACGTGTAATGAACACCAGAGTCAGGTCTGCCCTCCAGCGGCCTCGGCGAAGCAAGGTCCACTTGCCTGTGTCCTACAGTCCTACAGGTGAGACATTACCACCTGACAAATCTGCTTAAACATTTCCAAACTCTCCCCTGAAGTGGACATCCTGAGGCCCCAGACAAAGTGTCCGCAGTGATACTCAAGCTCCCTCTGCAACTATCAACTGCTCGAGTACGGAAGAGGTTTCTGGTCCATTCAGACAAGTCCTGCCCGCAGCCTCATGGGGACACGGACTACCCTGAGGTGCGATACCTCTGCCAACCAACTTACCTGGAAGCAAGTCTTACACAGGACTGACCCCAGCGTCCAGCTGTTCTTAGATGAGTGCTGGGAACACCTGCTAGGGACCCAGCCTCTCCGCCCGGTGGATGTTGTCACAAATGGGTGGGTGCTCCCCACACAGCCCAGCGTATCCATCAAACTGCCGATGAGGAGGGAGGAAATCTCGGGCTTCAGAGGAACACGACATCACAGAGGCCCTGCTCTCTGTCCCGGTCTGTCAGTAATCACCCTGGGTCTAATAAAGTAGCCCTACCTTCTATTACCCCCGAATCTAAAGAATGAGACCTTTCCCAAAGATGTCTGGCTCTGAACTCTAGTCTTCATCTAGAGAGAAAATCAGTCTCTGGTTCCCACCCATGTATTGAACACGCACCGTGCGCTGGGGGCTGGGTGTCCCACGGGCATTATCTGACCTTCGGCGCTGCAGGAGACACCAGCCAGCCCACTTCACGAGGGAAAAAAAACAAGCTTTCCACTTCAATAACTAACCCCAAGTATTATTTGGTAAAATGATGCGATCTGGACGCCCATTTGCCTGTAGACCTGAACACCGCAGTGCTCTGGAGTTAGTGACCACGCCAACACGTGTGCTCTGCCGGTGGGGGCTGCACCTGTTTTCTAGAAGCGATTGTCCTGTGCTGCTGAGCTCTTCACCCCAGGTGCACCTGCCCCAGGACCATGTGTGTCCCTGCGGCTCCCTCCTTCCCTCCATTAAAGCTGTTCAAGCATCCCCTCCTCTGCGAAGTCCACGCTGCCCCGCCCCGTGCTCCCTTCCCTGGTCTAGCTCTTCCTTCCTTAGCACTTCCACCCAGCACAGCACCTCTTGTTTTTTTAATCTCAGCCGAGAATATGTTTTTATTGATTTTTTCAGAGAGAGAGGAAAGGGGAGAGAGAGAAACATTGACGTGTGAGAGAAAAACATCAATTGATTGCCTCCTGCACATGCCCTGACTGGGGATCAAACCCCCAACCTAGGTATGTGCCCTGACTGGGAATCGAACCCACAACCTTCTGGTGCACAGGATGACGCTCCCTCCTGCTGGGTGCACACTACTTTTGTTATACCTCTGACCTTCTGCCAGCATCTGAGGTACGGAACAATGGGACTTTCCTACCTCTTCCGACACCGACACACTAACTGCCTGGGACATAGCAGGTACCCACCACAGTCAGAACTCAGCCAGTGGCGACTGAAGATACATGTATAAAACTTGTGGCTCTTGTTAGGTGGCAAACAAATAGGTACTTAAACTGTGTTACCACGATTTTAATAGTAGAAGAAATCTAGCATGTACAACTTATAATTTCACAGGTATTGTTGATAGGCCAGGTCAGAAATATACTAAGTAAATGTGCAGCAACAGTCCTGATGGTGCTTCATGTGACTGGACTCGGGCAACGCTGAGCTAGCTTCCGGCCACGTGGCGGACATCCTTTCTGGTACAGGCCTCCCGGGAGTACAACCTGAACAAGCACAGAACCACCTGTCATCCAGTCGGCTCCTCTGAGACCTGTCCTGGTCACTGCCAGAGGTTTGACATGAAGACTTTGCCTTTATGTCAGCTGCCCAAGTGCGCTCTCGCCTGGTAAATAAGTGACAAGGCACCTGGGACAGGTTGATGGGAGTGCAGGGCTCCACCCAACTCTCCCTCCAGCCCCAGGCACTTCCACGATGGTGCCTTCCCCTGCAGCCAGCTTTCTCCCGACTCCCCACGTTCTGTGACTTGTCCAGTGTTATTGAGAAGCAGGCGAGGTAAGAATTTAGGGTCCTCATTACTGTGAATTTACTCAAAACAAGTCTCAGTGTTTCAGAGTTTAAAGAAGGATGAGTGCCTCATTCTTCACCTGGTCCCAAGAGCCGGCGAAAGGGCAGCCCAATCTGCCTTAGCGATGTGAACTGGAGACGGCAGGCGCTTGAGCGGCCTGTGGACAAGGTGGATCTTTGCATATGTCACTGTAGAAGGTTACTCTTCCTGCCTGGCTGGTGTGGCTCAGTGGTTGAGCGTTGACCCATGCACCAGGAGTTGCCAGTTCAATACCCAGTCAGGGCACGTGCCCAGGTTGTGTGCCTAATCCCCAGTGGGGGGCATGGCAGGAGGCGGTCGATTGATGTTCTCTCTCATCAATGTTTCTATCTCTCTCTTCCTCTCTCTCTAAAATCAATAAAGAAAAAAATTTTTAATAAATAAATATAAGGTTACTCTTTCTGAGTCTAGGTAAATTCAGAACTTAAAATCCTTTGAGAACCCATCCTGTCCTCATAGCGAGGGGTGTGTCCTGTCCCACAGCGAGGGGTGTGTCCTGTCCCACAGCGAGGGGTGTGTCCTGTCCCACAGCGAGGGGTGTGTCCTGTCCTGGGAACTACAAGAAGAGCTGGGACACCGGGCAGATCAGCTCTAGAATCTCCGTGGACACTCCCCTCACCACTACTCCTCTTAGTCCCAAGCTCACACTATTAACTGCCTCCAGCCAAAGGGGCCACTGAGAAGGGAAAATAACAGTAATGACCACTCCCAACACGTCCACATCCGAATTCCCATAAACTGAACTTTCTTCCCTTTACGTGGCCCCAGATGGCCTTTGCCGATGTGCCTTAAGGTCTTGACATGGGGAGGTCATCCAAGTGGGCCCAGTCACATAGGTCGTTATAAAGCAGAAAGGTCAGAACCAAGATGTCCTGATGGAAGCAGAAGTCACGGTGATGTGGTGCACAAGCCCAGACACGTGGGCGGCCTCTAACGGCGGGGAGGCAAGGGCTGGATCCTCCCCTCGAGCCTCCGAGCCTCTGGAAGGGACACGCTGTGTTGCCCTGCTTCGACTCTAACTTCCAGAACTGTAAAAGCATCTGTCTTAAGCCTCTAAGTTTGCGTTATGTGTTATGGCGGAAATGGAAGGCTAATTTACTCTCTGATGGGTCACCACCCACAACTGGACAAACACTTGCTGGAAATGTCCATCTGACAATGAGCACCTTGAGGCCTGGGTGTCGTCCCCAAGTGTTCATAGGATCAAGGTGGCATGGACCTCAAGGCTGCCCCAGGCAGTCCTCGGTTCCCATGTTTGCCACACATTCTGTGGCAGAATATGAGGAAAGCCAAGCTGGTGGGAGCCACGCTGGGACCAACTCCTGTTACCATGGTTGCCTGGAGCAAGTATTAAAGTGCAGTTGATTCAAGTCCTGTTCTCAGTCTCTGAAGGTACATGGGGGAGGCAGTCTAGTCAGCAGACGGACTGTGTGGGAAGCAAACCCAGAAAGACTGCTCCTTCGTCCCCGCTGGACTCTGTAATCTCCCTCAGCAGTGGCTGCAATGTCACCCGGGTGCCAGGAGGCAGAGGAAGGGCCCCTAGTCTCCTCTGCTGGGCGGTTCAGTGGGGCTGCAGGGGTGGACTCGTGTGCCTGGGAAGCCCCTTCCAGTGAACTTCTCCTCCCTGCCCAGTCAACTGCTTCGGGCAGTTTTATGGAACATGTACGGGCTCTAGAACAAGAGTGGAGCTGGGGTTCTGGATCCGTCCTTCTCGGCCTATGGCCTTGGGCAGATGGAACATCCTCGGAGCCTATTTCCACACTGTAAGTGGGGTACAGCCTCCTTTGGAAGCATGTGAGTGTTCAACCAGTGAGCAGGGTGTTGGTGTCTGAGCTGCCAGACAGCCTAGAGCCGCCTAAACACCAAGACAGCAGTGCGGGTGGAAAGGGGCCTGCGTGGTGGCCTTACGGACTCAGACCTGAAGCAACACAGGATGGTCTGAAATGATAACTTACTAAGGGCCGTGGTGGGTGGTCATGGCCAAGGCATCCTCCTTGACAAAGGTCACGCTTTACCTTAACTGAGCCCGTCTACTCTTTTTGCATCTACAGAACATACCTTTGGAGTGTCAGAGTGACCCTAATAGAGGATGCAGCTAGACAGGCATGAGCAGAGCAGGAACAATGGGCCAGGTACAGAATGTCACCAGGGCAGGAAGTCCCAGGAGCCTAGCATTGGGCAAAACTAGAGAAAACCACTATAATAGGCTAAGACCTTACCCCCAGGGTGACCTTTCCACACTTAGCATGTTACTACTCAAGCAGTTTGGACCCCTGACTTTTTATATTGCTAGCCATGTGGTTTCAGACCCCCTTAGAGGAGGGGCGGGGCCCGAGAGTCGCCTCCCAGACTCCCACACAAGCCCTGCCTGCCCACTCCCTTAAGCACTAAGCCCTCGGGACAGTGAGGCTCTGACCCACATCAGATACTCTTAGGGGCAAAGCCGCGGGGCTGCTGACCACAGAGACATCCCGTCAGACTGGAGACGCATCCAGGCCTCAGCTGTGTCTCAGCTCCAGGCCCAGGAGCGCCCCAAACCAGACGAAGGGACCCTTGGCTGCCTCAGGACCAGCTGCACTGACTAGTGACCCCCGACCCCAGCACCGACCAGTCAGTAGAGACCACGACCCTGAAAGGACATGCCAGGGATTGAGATCCTCCCTGGGACATCCCCTAAAATCCCTGCTTTAGAGAAGCACAAAAAAAAGCCTCCAGATGAAAGAGCCAGGGGGCGCTCTCTTGGGAGCATCCTCGCCCTGGAGCGTTCTCTCCCAGGTGTTTACCTTTACTTTCTTTCTCCTAAGCTCCAAGGACCCTTCTTCTGCCTCTGTAACTTGTTTCCTGAGACCATACAGCCCAGCTGGCTCACTTCTTCTGTCTCTGTGACTTTCTTTCTCTAAATAAACTTTCTCTTGAATTAGAGTTCTTGACTCTGAGTTCTTTCTTAGCTGTGAACTCAAGACAGAGGTCTAACAGTCACCGTTAACAGTCCCCGTTTGCCAGACCCCTCAGGGGACAATCTCCCACCAGAACATGAGGCCACAGAACCCCTCATTGTTATCTTGTTTACTGCATACCATCTCTATGTTCTGTACATGTTAATTATTAACTATCCTGAGCCCACCTGTGTAAAAGAAACGTGTCTATTCACTTTACTTTTTATCCAGTCTCAGATGTCCCTGCTTTGCTTTCTCCTGCCTCCCTAATCTAGTTCCAATGGATTGGTAATAAATTTCATGTAACTCATTTATATCTTCCTATTTAATTATAAAATAAGAGGTAAAACTGCCATTCTCTGGAGCATTTTCTCAGTCCATTGAGGTTTTGCTTTCCTGCAATTGTCAGTTTGACTCAAGTAAACTCATAAAAACTCTCTACAGGTTTGGACATTTCTTACATTGACGCAGCACTGTTTAGACACTTAAATAAAAACTCTGAGATACTATGAACAATAACTAGGTTGAATAAAGCTGTGGACTGGATGAGAGGTTCTTAATCAGACACATATTTTTGTAAAATATACATGTCTATACCCTACCTACTAAACTAGAATCTTCAAAGAGTGGGTGTAGGCCTGTTTAGAGTCTATAGAAAGCACATTAGTGGCCCAATGTCCATGTCCTAAATGTTACCTTCTATGGCAAAGGGACTTGCAGACATGATTAAGTCAAGGATCTTAGATGGGAAAATTATTCATTTGGCTTCTACTGCACATTCGAGGAGTTTCCCCCTCACTGTTTATCCCCCGCCCAAATCTGTTAACCTGGGAGGAACCAGCTGGTTGTTCCTGGGGAGACGGGAAAGCCTGTCTCTCCTGCCCACTTGGATGCCCGGAGGACTGTGAAGCGGCCCCTCCTGCTTCATCAGGCGTAGTGTCTGACTCCCTCTGCTCCCTTCCTTTGCTAATGACTGAAACTGGAACACGGTGTCTCCTGAATCAGCCTTGGGGCCGCTTGCCTCTGGATTTCTTGGTTAATGAGCTGCTCAGAGTCCTTATAAAGGGAGGTCTTCTGCTTGTAGGTAAAAGCATCCAAATTCATTTAGGCTTAAAGAACCTTTATTCTTAGGGAAGAGTCTATGACTATAACTTGCCTCTATAAGAACACACCAAGTTATATGTAAGCTTTTTTTTGAATTGTCAAATTTGTATAAACCAAAACTAAGAATACCTTTTATTAACAAGTTGATTTTGCTTTGGCTCCCTCAAACTTCTGTAAGGAAAGTGATTTGAAAAAACACATCAATCAAAGAAGCTTGACTTAAAGCAGATGGTAGCATCTCATTTCTCACCCACACTAGGGACCCTCCTGAACTCTACTGGGGGTCGGGGTGCAGGGGGTACGACAAGAAGCCAGCGCAGAGTGCAGGAGAGGCTCCAGCCCTGACGCCGCCAACTTACAGCGCGAGGGGAAGCAGAGCTCCCTTCTGGGCCTCACTGCGTGTCTACGGGGGGATGGGCAGGGGCGTCCACTCCTTACCACTCCAAGTGTGGGCTGTGGATGGGAGTTGCTAAGGGGTACAGAAACTGGCGTCCTGCTCCAGACCTGCCTTTTACTAGAACATTTGCAGGCTTGCACATTACATATAAAGAAGCACAAGTCTAACACTTTCTCCAGAGCCAGACCAGCATTACAAGGTCTGGATAGGAGCGCCCTCTACCGGCTGAGATGACGCACGTTCTTTAGGAAACATTTCCGTTCCATCCCTTCTGCTGGTTTTCCAGGTTTCTAGGAGGAACTCGAAGCTCCCTCACCTACACAGGGGCACAGGGACTGTGAGAAGGTGCGTGGGGCCTTTGGAAAGCCGAACTGTCTGCAGCCTGAAAGGGTCTCAGTTGCGCACAGTCCACTTCCTCTGTCTCGTCCTTGTCAGCTCTGCTGTAGCAGAAGAGACAGCGGAGAGCCGAGGTTCCTGCTCACCAGACTGTCCTGGCTTAGTCACTATCAGCTCTGAACCCTTAGGCAAATGACTACCTGTTAGCCCAGTTTCCTCCTCTGCCAGCTGAAGTGGAGCATGAAGATGAGGGCAGCAGGACTCTCGGGACTGTTCCGAAAGGTTGCAGGTGGTAACAGTTGCGAAAGCTCTTTGAAAACCTGACAGATTTCACACATGTGAAGGTGTGTGTTTCTCGGATGCCCGCTAGTGTAACAGGCTGCTCTGGACAGACCTGGCCCACCCCAGCCCCACCCCAGCCCAGCTCTGCTGCTGTTGGCCTAATGCTCTTCATTCTCGTTATTGTCCTTATCAGGATTTCTCAGCCTTGGAACTATTGACATTTGGGCCGGATGATTCTGTTGTGGGGGCCATCCTGGTCTCTATCCACTGGATGCCAGCAGCACCCCCTTCCCCCCGCCTCCACTCAAACACACACAGTCATGATAATCAAAACACCTCCAGACACTGTCAAATGTCCCCTGGTTGGGGGTGGGTGCAAAATCACCCCCAGCTGAGAACTGTTCTGGATTGTTCAGGGGTGTCTATGCATAATGTTCTGGACCCTGAAGGGAAAGACGCAGCTATGTCCAGAGCACTGGCAGAGGGTGGCAGGTAGGGAGGGGGAGGATGGAATAACAGCAGACAAGACACCATCTAGTCCAGAAAAGGTTTAATCATTCTAATGGTTTGTAGCACTTACATAATTTTCAAATTTTACTTTATTGTTGACAGTATTACAAATATCTTCCATTTTCTCCATTTTTATCTCCCTCCACCCAACCCCCAACCACCCCAGGTCTTCCCCATGCTACAGTTATGTGTGTGTGTGTGTGTGTGTGTGTGTGTGTGTATTTATTTATCTCTTCCTGTCCCCTCCTCCCACCCCTTTCCCCTGAGATCTGCTATTCTGTTGCATGCATCTATACCTCTGGACCTATTTTGTTCATCAGTTTATTTTGTTCTTTAGGTTCCACTTATAAAGAAGATCATGTGGTATTTGTCTTTCTCTAACTGGCTTGTTTTGCTTAGCATAATACTCCCCAGGTCCCTCCATGTCATCTCAAAGGGTTAAAAATCCTTCTTTTACCCTGCATAGTATTCCATTGTGTATATGTACCACAGCTTTTTAATGCACTCATCTACTGATGGGCATTTGTGTTGTTTCCAGATCTTAGCTATTGTAAATAGTGCTACTATGAACATAGGGGTACATATATTCTGTCTGATTGGTGTTTCAGGCTTCTTAGGCCATATTCCTAGAAGTGGTATCGTTGGGTCAAATGGCAGTTCCATTTTTAATTTTTTGAGGCACCTCCACACTGTTTTCCACAGTGGCTGTACCAGTCTGCATTCCCACCAGCAGTGTATTGGGTTCCCTTTTCTCCACATCCTCGCTATCACTTGTTATTTGGTGATTTATTGATGGCAGCCATTCTGACAGGTGTGAAGTGATCCCTTATTATAGTTTTAATTTGCATCTTTCTGATTATTAGTGACATTGAGCATTTTTTCATATTTCTATTGGCCATCTGTATGTTTTCTTTGGAGAAGTGCCTATTCAGGTCCTTTGCTCATTGTTTAATGGGACTGTTTGTCTTTTTGGTATTGAGGTGCATACATTCTTTGTATATTTTGGAAATTAAACCCTTATCAGATGTATCATTGGCAAATATGTTCTCCACAATAGTAGGTTCCCTTTTCATTTTGTTAATGATTTCTTTTGCTGTGTAAAAGCTTTTTAGTTTGATGTCCCATTTGTTTATTTTTTTACTTGTTTCCCTTGCTCTAGGCGATGTATTGGTGAAAATACTACTATGTGAGATGTTACTACTTATGTTTACTTCTAGGATTTTATGGTTTCACAAGTTACATTTAAGTCTTTTATCCATTTTGAGTTTATTCTTATGTATGGTGTAACTTGGTGGTCTAATTTCATTTTTTTGCATGTATCTGTCCAATTTTCCCAAACCATTTATTGAATAGACTGTCTTGGCTCCATTTTATGCTCTTACCTCCTTTGTCAAATATTAACTGGCCTTGTTGACATGTGTCAATTTCTGAATTCTCTGTTCTGTTCCATTGGTCTATATGCCTGTTCTTGTGCCAGTACCAGGCTGTTTTGATTACAATGACTTTGTAGTATAGTTTGATACTTGCTATTGTGATACCTCAAACTTTGTTCCTTTTTCTCAAGATTGCTATGGCTATTCATGTTCTTTTCTGATTCCATTTAAATTTTTGTAAAATTTGTTCTAGATCTGTGAAATATGTATTTTAATGGGGATTGCACTGAATCTGTAGATTGCTCTGGGTAGTATGGGCATTTGAATGATGTTCATTTTTTCAATCCATGAACATAGTATATGCTTTCACTTTTTTGTGTCTTCCTGTATTTCCTTTTGCAATGTCCTATAGTTTTCTGAGTATGGGTCTTTTACTTCCTTAGTTAAGTTTATTCCCAAGTATTTTGTTTTGTTGTTGTTGCAATGGTAAATGGGATTTTCTTTTAGTTTCTCTTTCTAAGGTTTCTTTTTTTTGATACATATAAATTTTTTATTTATTTTTTTGTTACAGATATTTTACCTTTTTTACCTCATTGGCACCCCTCACCCCACCCCACCTCCGCCCCATCCCCGGCTTAATTGTCCATGTCCATTGGTCATGCATACATGCATATAAGTTCAGTGGTTTATCTCTTCCCACCCCCCACCCCCTCTTCTGAGGGATGTCAGTCTGTGCCCTACTTCCATGTTTCTGGGTCTACTGTATTCCTCAGACTGTTATGTTCATTATATTCCGTATATAAGTGAGATCATGTGGTATTTGTCTTTTTCTGCTTGGCTTATTTCACTTAAGATAATACTTTCCAGGTCCCTCCATGTAGTCTCAAAGGATAAGAGATCTTTCTTTCTTACCGCTGCATAGTACTCCATTGTGTATATGTACCACAGCTTTTTTATCCATTCATCTACTGATGGACACTTGGGCTGTTTCCAGATCTTAGCTATTGTAAATAGTGCTGCTATGAACATGGGGGCACATATATTCTTCCTGATTGGTTTTTCAGGCTTCTTTGGCTATATTCCTAGAAGTGGGATCACTGGGTCAAATGGAAGTTCAATTTGTAATTTTTTGAGGTAACACAATAGTGTTTTCCATAGCGGCTGCACCAGTCTGCATTCCCACCAGCAGTGTATTAGAGTCCCCTTTTCTCCACACCCTCGCGAACACTTGTTGTTTGATGATTTGTTGATGGCGGCCTTTCTGACAGGTGTGAGGTGATACCTCATTGTTGTTTTAATTTGCATCTCTCTGATGATTAGTGATGTTGAGCATTTCTTCATATGTCTTTTGGCCATTTGTATGTCCTGTTTGGAGAGGTGTCTATTTAGCTCCTCTGCCCATTTTTTAATTGGGTTCTTTGTCTTCCTTTTGTGGAGTTGTATGAGCACTCTATATATATTGGAAATTAACCCCTTATCTGATACATCATTGGCAATGATGTTCTCCCATACAGTGGGTTGCCTTTCCATTTTGATGATTGTTTCTTTTGCTGTGCAGAAGCTTTTTAGTTTGATGTACTCCCATGTGTTCATTTTTTCCTTTGTTTCTGTTACCTTAGGTGATGTATCAGTGAAAATTCTGCTCCGTATGATGTCCGAAATTTTGTTGCCTACATTTTCTTCTAGAATTTTTATGGATTCACGGGTCACATTTAAGTCTTTTATCCATTTTGAGTTTATTTTTGCGTATGGTGTAAGTTGATGGTCTAGTTTCATTTTTTTGCATGTAGCTGTCCAATTTTCCCAACACCATTTATTAAAGAGGCTGTCTTTACTCCACTGTATGCTCTTGCCACCTTCGTCAAATATTAATTGAGCGTATTGCCTTGGGTCCATTTCTGGGTTTTCAGTTCTGTTCCACTGGTCTATATGCCTGTTCTTGTGCCAGTACCAGGCTGTCTTGGTTACAGTCACTTTGTAGTATAACCTGATATCTGGTATTGTGATCCCACCTACTTTGTTCTTCTTTTTCAAGATTGCTGTGGCTATTCAGGGTCTTTTTTTGGTTCCATATGAACTTTTGAAGTATTTGTTCTAGTTCTATGAAATATGTCGTTGGTATTTTGATGGGGATTGCATTGAATCTATAGATTGCTTTGGGTAGTATGGACATTTTAATGATGTTAATTCTTCCAATCCATGAACAGGGTATGTGCTTCCACTTTTTTATATCTTCCTCTATTTCTTTTTTCAATGACCTGTAGTTTTCTGCAAATAGGTCCTTTACTTCTTTGGTTAAGTTTATTCCTAGGTATCTTAATTTTTGGGGGGCGATGGTAAATGGGATTGTTTTTCAGTTTCTCTTTCTGTGAGTTCATCATTGATGTACAAGAATGCCATCAATTTCTTGATGTTAATTTTGTATCCTGCTACTTTGCCAAATTCATTTATTACGTCTAGTAGATTTTTGATGGAGTCTTTAGGGTTTTCTATGTATAATATCATGTCATCTGCAAATAATGACAGTTTCACTTTCTCCTTTCCAATTTGGATCCCTTTTATTTTTTCTTCATGTCTGATTGCTGTGGCTAAGACTTCCAGTACAATGTTAAATAAGAGTGGCGAAAGCGGATATCTCTGTCTTGTTCCTGTTCTTAAGGGAAATGTTTTTAGTTTTTGCCCATTGACTATGATGTTGGCTGTAGGTCTTTCATATATGGCCTTTATTATGTTGAGATATGATCCCTCTATTCCTACATTGTTGACCGTTTTTATCAGAAATGGATGCTGGATTTTGTCGAAGGCTTTTTCAGCATCTATTGATATTATCATGTGGTTTTTATTCTTCATTTTGTTTATGTGGTGTATCACGTTTATTGATTTGTGAATATTGTACCAGCCTTGCATCCCTGGAATGAATCCCACTTGGTCATGGTGAATAATTTTTTTGATGTATTTCTGGATCCAATTTGCTATTTTGTTCAGGATTTTGGCATCTATGTTCATCAGGGATATTGGCCTGTAGTTTTCTTTCTTCGTAGTGTCTTTTTCTGGTTTTGGAATTAGAATTATGCTGGCCTCATAGAACGTGTTTGGAAGTCTTCCTTCTTCTTGAATTTTTTGAAATAGTTTGAGGAGAATGGGTGTTAGTTCTTTTTTGAATGTTTGGTAATACTCCCCCGTGAATCCATTGGGCCTGGGCTTTTGTTTGCTGGGAGATTCTTGATTACCTCTTCAATTTCCTTAGTTGTTATTGGTCTGTTCAAGTTTTCTATCTCTTCCGTGAATAGTTTTGGGAGACTGTGTGTTTCTAGAAATTTGTCCATTTCGCTTAGATTGTCGAATTTGTTG